AATCCACATCTTCAAAAAAACTGTAGGTCAACAATCAAGAACGGATAATCACACAATAAAAATGCAACCCGGTGAACTCGCAACAAGTAAAATGATTTCATCCATATAAAAGTCCATCACACGCAATAATAAGTATAATAATATATGCAAAGTTATGTTATCCACAGTTTGATATGTAAAAATCAGCCCCCTCAAATAACGAATCAAGTAAGCTGGGTTATACGTTCAACTCAGCGAATACTGTAAATGCATTGTATTATTTATCGAACCATTGAATTGTTCGAATCATTTGGGAAATGTTTACTTTATTTCGTATTTTACAAAGTTAAGCATAATGAATAAATTAAAGACGAAAACGCTTAATAATTGATGCTAAGCCGGATGAGTAGAACACAGTTTGTGGGGGGGGGGGGGTTATGGATTTCATCTTGACAAGATGACAATTTTATTATGTTACATTTCATGCCATTGTTTTATTTAAGGCTGCTCCATTTTCTGATATTTTCTGGCTTTTCATTACATTTCGATTTCGTGGTCGCTGGCGGATATTTCGACCTATTATCACAAATCATGGTTTTAAAGATAATCATATCACAAAATGTCAACAATAATCATTTTTGGAAAAATGTCTATTTAGTTCATGTAAAATGGCAATAATCTATGAAAAATATATCGTGAAAATCAGAATTATCCATCTTATAACAACATATTATTTTTTACTAGATTTCACCAAACAATATTTTCAGATATCAAGTTAATTGCTTCACATTTATCATTTTCTTCAATTTCACTATCATTATATTTTGTACATCAGTTACATTTGAGGTACATGTATATTGTTATCAGTTCAACTTTGCAAAGAGTTCATTTTATTGTCACGATTTTCTTGCACACGTCATATTTGTTTGTGTTTTGAAACAGACATCATGCGTTAAACGAATTCAATCATTCAACTTCCTGTACATATTTGATTCTGAAAATACTAAAGGCCACGCTCAGTGGCATTATAATAGGCTTTACATGTCTGATCTGTCTTCCCGCCTTCAGATATCGGATATGGAAATATGTTGTGCCCGTTTTTGGACACGGGTACATCATTGTATATTTTGTATATTAATAAATTTTCTCTACCGTTTGACTAAGTTGTTTCTTACTATGTTTGCCACGTTCAAGTGGATATGTTGCTTCTAACTGCATTGTTGGCGCTGTTGGTATTATTTCTACCGTCACTATTATTTCATAACAACTGCATAATAATGCTTCTATTTCTAACAGGGTAGGTGGCAAGATAGAACATGGCTGTTTCAAAAAAATCAAGTAATATCCAAATTTGACATGGCCGAAATTAGTCTATGCTTAATCAGTGTGTCGTCTGAACAACATGTTATATTCTGCTACCAGTAACCATGCAGTATCATGGTACTAAGTGTTCAAGATCCATAAATATGGTAACATTTCAAGCACCACTGTTCGTCTCAAACATAATACATGATTACAGCGTGACAGTCGTCGCGCTGCGCATGTGCGACATTTGTGTTGATAAACATTGATTTTCCCACAATCCAATGCGATCTTTTAATGAAATCACAAGTATGAGGTTGTTTGTACTCGTTGATCTGCGCAACAGTCAAAGTCGCCATCTTTGTTTATATGAGACCCATATATCTCGCACATGCGTGGCGCGACGACTACCGCCCTTTAAATCACCCACTTACTGAAATAAGCAGACATTTTCACGCACTAAATTATCGTCCAAAATCAAGGAGTTGGATAATGAACTCCAGTGAATGGCACACTAATAACCACAGAAACCCCATCTAGTTCATTGCCATTCCCAACAATGTTCACTTTTGTAATTTCTAGATATTTTCCCGTAAACTATTTACGATGTTTTCGATTAATGGTCGGTATGATACCTGCAAAAATGAAATTACTTTTCATCAATGTATAACCATTCATTGATTAGTGATTAGATCATGATGTGGTTTGTCTAGAAGTTAAAATAACTGCTATTTACATGTCATGTTTTTTTTCCACGTGCGACATGTACCAGTTTAACAATTAAAAGAAATTGACACAGAACGTTACGTAAACTAATGAACACAATTTTATATGTGGATTTTTTTTATTATCAAAAAAAATGCTGTCATTACACAGTAATGTCATTTTACAATACTGATATGAATGAATATGTTGAATCTGAAAGTGTTTGTTATATATCGGTAGTTTGACACATTCGAATGTACGATGGGGTGGTTTCACCGCTCCCCGATTACTCATGTAGATACGATGACAAATTGATAGAATTACTTCAATGTTACCACCGTGTCGCTATAACCACAGATTCGGTTCCAAACATTCAGTTGAAATAGCTCGTTTAATCGGCATTCATATGAGAATGAGATTGAACGCGCTTAAATGCGCTTAATACACGCAGATGAATTAGAATTCTCACGTTGTCAACGAAAAATCTGCGGAACGGATGTATGCATTATAATTACATTCAGTAATACCGGCTCAAGTGGCGCCCGTGCATGAACAGAGATAAACATTTGTTCGCCGCGCAAAACGTATTAAAAGAGGCTTACATGCGGCGACTGCTGGGTGATGGTCTATTAATATACTACGTAAACCATTAAAAAAGACAAAAAAATGTTTGATCAAATTAGATGCTAGGAAATAAACAAACACGTACTATATTACAAGGTGATTACCTAATAGCTTGTTCACAACTGCATTCCGTGTACATTCTCTTTGGTGATAAAGAAAAACACAGATTACACGTTACGCTGTATTAGGAGTGATTTAAAACTTACTTAAGTATTGTGAAATATCTCACTTCGGCATGAAACAGATGTGAATACGAAAACGGCCAATTAAACGCCATCAGCCGTCGGTCATTCGCAACAGTCTTTTAACGTTAATTGGAGACCTTAACTGCATTTTAGAGCCGAGCTGACCTGTATGTTCACGTTGCTTATTAGTGTGATATTCACCGTGGCAAGTGTTAACTGTTAATGACGATTTTGTCGAAGGCACCAATACATAAATAAATAGATGCACACAAGGGAGCGCAGATACTATGTAATATTTTGATTAACAATTATATCGTTTGCGTACTTTTTGAATTTTGTTCGCAGCGTAATCTTCATCAGTGGTTTCCCATTATGACTGTTTTACGGAGTCTCCGTTTAATTTAATCACATCTCTGTTCGAAGTTACCAATCGAATATAATTAGTGATGTACGGGAGGAGGTGAATTACAGAATAGAAGCCAGTTAATTGATACGTACCAGTACGTAGTTGATTGCATTTTGTTTATCAAACCTACAGTCCTCGAAGGCAATCAGCGTTTTATTTCCCCTCATTTTTTATTTCATTCACATTTCATTACCGTTCACCGTATGTGAGATAAATAAATTTACGCTGGGTCAGAACATGGCATTATTGAAACAGAACAGCACTGTGATTACTTGTAATTGCAGTTCACATACAGGAATTACTACTACCTCCTCGCACCACCTACTGTGCTAAGATGTATTTCGCTAATAACGACGTAGTTTTCCTAAAGCAATGATAGAGACATTGACAGGGGAAGAGCGAATTGCTCATTACATAATTGTATGTGTGTGTTCGGTCTGATGGTCATATATTTGTTACCACAGAAATAAATGCCCGATCGCGACGGACAGACAGTGTGCACTGATGTTTGAAATGTGAAATCCACGAATCCACAATATTGTGAACTCATTTTCATCTTTAAAAAAATAGAGACTACATTAAATGTGCGTGTTATTAAACGTAAATTTCATTCAAATTATTCACACTTGTTTGTTTCTGTGTGATACACAGTTTTAAGGTATGTGGATATTTTCAGTCATACTGCGTGTAGTTGGGGGTGTGTGCTTTATTTAATCAATAGAAAAGGTATGAGTGAGAAACCTTGCTCTTTATATTTTTTGAAACAAAACAGAAACGAAATCACCAAATCGAGAAAAAATATTAAACTGCAAAGGTGCGTCTCGGAAGCATTTCTGGAACTCGCATTTTAACCGATGAGAAACACTGGGCGAAAGTGTACATTCAAACATAGCGTAGCCGAAATTATTTTCAAATTGTATTTATTTGCGAAGACTTTTCTCAAAAAGTCATGATGAACCTATTTTAGAAAAAAAATGTCCGTTGCCGAACAACACCGTACACACCATTACATCGCACAAATTTGTATCATAGTACGATAATGATGATCGCTTGAACGAACTATTACAGGCGGCATTCGATTAAATTAGTTTTTCTTACTACGTGAATAACATTAATCAAACTGTCTGTGTTTAGTGTGTTTCGTATGCAAATAACAATTTACAATTGTAATTGGGCATTATATATATACATGTTTCTTTTAGAAACAAACAGTCATAAACTTATTTTATTCTCAGTAGAAAAAAATAATATGAACATTATGTAAATACAACACGTTGTTCATTTTTTCATATAGTGACTATATAATTCCACATAAGGCTTTTCTTGTTACAGAAGACTACGTTTCGAGACCCTTTATATTGTTTTCCACCTAAATTGTCAATTTTTTACTTAATACACGTGCACGTTTGTTTGACATATATTTGTCTATTTTATTTTCTCACAATAAGTTTTGTCGTGATTCGTTAAAAACAATTTGTTTTAAATATTCAAATGTCTGTGTGGCATTGGCATTGTGACATAATCACTTGAAAAAAAACTTCAAATATCTATCTATCTATATCTATCTATCACATCACGCTCTACTTCTGTGGGTAACTGTAGCACACAATCCGTAGTAGTTTATTGGCGCTCACCGAATATTTAGATAAATGTACGAGCCCGGAAAAAATGAATGCCACGAACAACAATATCAGAAGCCACGCGCACTACAGAATATATTCGAATCATTAACCCGCAAATAATTAAATCCTAATTATAAGGATACAAATACAGGAATGAAGTAATACATTGTTGAATAATATTCGCGTGAAACACCAAGTGACAGTTCCGTTCAGCAAATACGTTTTTACAGTGCGTAATATTGCATGGTTATAATGACTGCGGCACGACACTTAGTGGAAAAGACTTTGCGGGGCTTGAAAATTCAATTATTTGAAAACGTACCTTACTATCTCCGGATACTATCTGCAGCTCATAGTCTGCTAATATGTCTTCATTGTCGTTTATATGCTGCATTGCCATCTGAGATGCCGGTAGGTGGGATTCCCCGCCATTCCATATGGGCGAGTCAAACGGGAATAGCCCCAGAATTGTGAGAACTGTCTTGTTTGCTCCAACCTCGACGGGCGAACACGCCGCAAGAACGACAAAAACGCACCTGAGCCAGCTCATATGTATCAATGACGATGACGGTGTGGTGTCGACTGAATAACACAAAAAAAAAGTTAAACATCACATCGCGAGTTTCATACACACACTAACAACAGTAAAGACTATTCCAATAATAACAACACACATTTAGAATTTAGAAAGGTGAAGATACGTGCCCGGGGATGCACAGTAGATAACAAGCACTGAGTCGCCAACATGATAGCTACTAGAACTGATGTAATCACACATGACATTTAAAATAGTTACAGCACAGTTACAGTTAAAATATGCAACAGTTCGATATAGTATTTAACATAATGAATTATGTAGAATACTACTGAATTTACACTTAACATCGAGCATGTCATTTCAACCAGATTGCCCCTGTTCATGTGCGTCGTTAAAATTTATTTCAAGATTTATTTTAGTTGGAATTATTTTATCGTTTTCAGTAATCACAGATGGAATATCAAGTTCATTGATATTTTGAGCCTATTCAAAGATTGGAAACGCTGTCTTATCTTATTTTAACTTCAGAAGGTTTTTTTATCATACATTTGCGGATGAACGATGCACATGAGTTGTAAAAGATAACTACTGTTACAGTTAACTATCATCTGCGCATGTGCGTTTTTTTATATTAGATTGGTCTAAGAACATATCCTTGTGGGACACCATACGCCAAATTGCGAAAAAAACATATCCTAGTCACTATAGGTTTGCGTTCATTACATGGTGACTGGGCCGTCTTTTGGGGAACAGTTACTGTGGCGTGGTGAATTTACAGTGGCGATGCGCTTTGCCCTAGTCGCACATTGACGTGCGATGCTTCAACGCTCAACAAATCTCATTGGCTGCTCTATCTAATGCAAAATAAAGTTGTCTAATTTAAAAGCTATCACAATTGTATTCACAAAAGTAGCGCTCAAAATAAATATTATTTTATGAAACCGGGACGTTGATACAAATATCAGATGTTTATCGTATTGTATTGTATTGTATTGTATTGTATTGTATTGTTACAATACCACACAAAAGGGTACACTCGCGAAACTGCTTTTGTTCAGTTTCGTCTGACTGTTGTTTCCATTCGTCTTCAAATTTGAGTTCAGAAAATGAAAATTTAACAGTAATTTATTTCGTTTCTTTCTAAACAATACTATTTCCTACAGCCTTTATATAAAATGAGTGTCAATAATAGGATTGCGTCGATGTTGACTTGGAACTGGGACTTCAATGTTGTGACTATTTAGCTGTCAAATTCAGAAAGCAGAAGCAGAAATCGTGTTTGCTTCTAAAGAGTGTTGTAAATGTTCTTTGATCTCAGATATAGAATATATAATGATATAAACTAATGTTTAACTGGGTGAGCACTTACTTGTATATCACAGCAGTTGACCAGAGTCACTGGAGCACGAATGAGATGCTGCTTTTTAAGACGACTGTGATCTTGTTATGCTGATGTTCGTTTCAACGGACGCTAAAAGCGCCCCTAAGATACCGAAGATATGTCAATGTTTCAAGTACTGAAGCTAGCTCGACATCTGCTTTTTGATATCTACATAATTGGTAAAAATACATTGTAAGAAATACATTTTATTTTATGACACAATATTTGATACTGTATTTTGTTGTTAACATGGGCGTGGAGAAATTGATTAGTGAGTGCACCTTGTATGAGAGAGACAACGTGTCCTTTCAGCTGACTGTGACTTCAACAGTATTAATTAAATTGTATTGAAGGTGATGAGGAACAGTTTATGTTCGTAGGGATGGGAAATGGATTATAAGGTTTAAAAGCACAACGCATTAACATGCTTTGGTATCGACCGCATTGCTCTGTGAACCTTATACGGTTTGTTTTCATATTGAATGAAGATAAGCAGAGCAACCAATTGTTACAGAAATCAAGTCTTGATGTTGCAAATGTACACATCAACAAACGAATTGAAACAATTGTGGGATACTGTCAAAATATATTAATACATACAAAAGTCGTATAGGGAAATTTTCATGTTCAAATACACAAAACAAATAACTGACAACAATCAACAAAACAAGTACACTAAACTACATAGTCAGTAAAGAAATGTCATTGTGAATATGAAGTGATATCAGGTATTTTGAAAAGCGTGAACGCATCCTACTCTACGTGTGGAACCCTTTATATATTATTCGGCGTTATAATCAAACGTGTTTGTATCAAACAGGTGAGATTGATGCCATCTTAGAGCATTTCTGTAGACATTGTTATTCTATTTTAACCACAAACTAATTGCGTCGTACGTTCCGACCATATTTATAAGGTATTCAATATTCATGAGAGTGTGTTGTAGTTGACTGTATTCCATCCTTGTAGATGTTCGTAGACGGTATGTTATAATGTTTCTTGGTATTATGATTTGATTTAAAGACTAGAATATCTATCTTTTTCTAATTTAACTGATTACTATCGTCTGTGTGTATGAGGTAACCCGTGTTTTTCCCCTTAATAATGCCACTAAGTAATGATTCGCATGCATACCTGCCAGCACGTAACAGACAAACAACGTAATCAGAAGTAATAAAACAGATCCACCCAGCCGCGTCGATTGCCATATGGACAACAAGTAACACCGGTTAAAATAATGATAGTATACTTGATAGCTATAAAACGAGTGAAAACTTCGATATAACACATCAGATGATGATTAAAGAGATAAAGTAATCAAGATACGAAAGTAATAATTAGGTGGTTAGTAATAAACATATCAATGTTAATAAGGTGGTTGGTTAGTAATCAACATCGTAGAAAATCTAGAGATCGTATCATTGCATTAGGTATCGAATACTTGAAATAGCAAATCGCTGTTTTTTTTCCATTATGTCCCCCATAAAAAACAGAAAACATGATCATGAACATGCATGGTTGCTGACAATTCAAAAATTAAATAAACTAGACAAAAATATGTGTAATAGAAATTAGATACATCCCAATGCAAAAGTAAGAGAATCAGAAACCTGCATGGCAAATAAATTTAATTCTTTGTTTCAAGGAACTAGATCTAAATGCTTAGACATGATGGACAAACTTTTATTTTGGATGTCTGTACCTGAAATTGTTTTGTGGTAATAGCTTAGTTTATTTCAACTTAAAACGGGAGGGTCGTCACCTGCGCACGCGCGAGAATTGAGTCCCAAACGACGATAACAACACACGCTAAAAACCTAAAGGTTCATGGGTAAACGATTGTTTGTAAACATTGACACGATTTGGTCATCTGACGCATGCGCAGGTGACGACTCCCCCGCTTTAATAGTATAAACACATGTTTAACTAAAACAAGTACTTCCTTGTAAAAAAACGGCAGTTGACCAAGATTCATTCGAGTTCAAGTCAACTTAAAGTCTTCAGTCGCTTTCTTCATATTCACTTAAATATGCACTACAAGGTGTCCCTAGGAGATCGAATATATGTCGAAGTAATGAGGCTATCTCAGCACCAAGTTTCGGAGTTACTTCGAGGTTCTCTGTATTACACTCATTGGTCAACAGTGATATCATGTATGACACTGTATTTGTTGCTAACGTAGGCATCGTATTCGCACCTCGTGTTGGGAGATTACTAAATGCATTGACTGTAAAACAATCAAACCAGATGAACTCCACTGTTTAATAAATATACATATCTAATCTATTTTTCGGTCAGTTATCAATAAACTTCAGGTTTAGATTTTTAGACTGCAGTGTTATCACGTTTATACATTACCAACAAAAAAACTATTAAACACAATTTCAAAACACTTCATAGCATCTGAAATAAAATTGTATATCAATTTGTCAGTCTGTGACGCCGGTTATAATTTACATACATTTCCGAGATATGGGTAACAATGGTAAAATGCCTGTAGATCAACAACAAAACGGGCGATTTCGCTGGTAATTTACGTCTAACAGAACTCTGTATGGTGACCCCATTAAATTCAAATGTCAAATGATATAAGAAGAAAATTATAATTATAATTATGAGCGCAGCGTGCTCCCCTCAAATATCAGTGTTGACGTCATGTAGTAATAGTCATTGTGTTCTTTTTGTCGTGCCTGGAGGGCTCGAGTACATGGTTTATTTATGCATGTAGTGATATACAAGATTTTGCCGCGGATACGACTTGTGTATCAACAACTAGTCACCGTGGATCCGTGCTCATTACCCGCTATTTCAAGCTGTTCTTTTTTTAAAACATTCAGCATGTTGTATTGAGTAGCGTGTAAGCCTGCTAACAGCAAGGGGCGCATAGAAATTGTATTGTTGTCGTTTTTTGTTTTGTTTGTTTGTTGTTGTTTTTTTGTCAAAGGCAGCAAGGCCGCAACACAGCGACAACAAACATTTGATTCGCTATTTCCCGCGGGAATTGGCGCATAATATACATAACAAGGGATACTAAATTATGTTAAGGCAGTGTTATTTGTGTGTGCGTTTTAGCTACAATCGCACACGTCGATTACCATGCATTATTCCTTACTGTATTAAATCACAGACCTTTGTAAGGACTATGATTTAATCCAACAACTACCGCATTCGTAGCTAGATTCGCTTGTTTTTGATTACCAGGTAGTTGGACGATTTTAATGTCACTACTTAAAGTGGTAGTTTGACATTTGGTAAATGCATTATATAGCATTAAATAACTTCCTGTAAACGCTAAATGATTTGATTTTATCTTATGGATGTGTTACTAATTATGGGTTATTATTCCTTGTTATCACATTTCAGGTAAATTGGTGCGATTTCCCTTTATCATGGATAATTTAATTAATTTTGGTACGCTTTGGGATAGTTACAGATGAAGTTGGGGCGTATTGTTCTCTATGTATGTCTTTGCGTACTGGATGTAGTACCGAAGATGTGCTAAGAAAGACACACACACCCGCACGCTCTTATCAGAGAAAAAAATAGCAGAATATTCCAAGACAAGCGTGTGAAACTGTCAAGATGCAGAACGCTTACAATAAACTCTGCTGTTTCTATCTGTGGGTTATAAACTTCAGTTAAAAAGGTCGTCGAGCAGCGCGC